ACTTGGAATCCGACCTATACTGACTTGATCGTCGGAGTGCTCACCTTTTTGTGCAGGTCCGTCCAAGTGTCCAGGTCGGTCCGGAGGCCGAGTTCGAGCTACAATTAGGAACACACTATTGTGCACATCCTTGCATAAACAAGAGAGATTAAAAAAATTTAGAGAAAAAAACTTGGTGAGTGGGAGTAAACAAAATTAGTAATGAATGAAGTTTGAGAATTTTTTTTATTACTAAAGAGTCTTTACGTCCCTATATCTGGAGTATGCATATTGTTTTTATATCCGTATATACGTAAGGAGTCAAAGATATTTCTTGAGATCCAAAACACCCAACCTCCCTTAGGGACAAAGTTAGAGAAAAATAGAAATTATAAAAAGGAAAAGAAATATATTTTCTCAAAATATATGGTGAAATAAAAGGATAATTTTGAAATTTAAAATAATAATCATTTAAAAATTGAATTATTATTAATTTTTTTATCAAATATTACTTGAAAATCATGTCTCAATGATTGACCAAAATTTTCTAAAATTACTTATGAATCAATCACCAAACGTCTGTATTTTTAAATAGGGGTGATTTTGATAATAGTAAAAAAGTGTTTTTAACTCTAAAATCACTCCAAACATTAACTGAGGCCGAATTTTATAAATAGTATATTTTTTTAATGACTTAAATTAGCTTATAACTTCAATTATTATTACTATTTTTTTAAGAATACAGTGAAAATTTGAACCTAAATCCATAGAAAAGACGATTAATACTCTAACAACTTGACCATGAAACCACTTATTAACCATATAATCAATGTCTTACCTACTATAATTAATGGATGGTTAATTTATTCAATTATAATATTAATTGGTAAAATTTCACAAGTTATGACAATAGCTACCCTACCACATATCCATTTTATAAGTTCAAACATCATTGTATTTTAAATAATTATTTGACATGCAAGACAGTGAATTGTTGGTGGGTTTTAGTGGGGTTAAGTTTTGAAATAATCACATTTTAAAAAGAAATTACAAAAATAATGTTAATTTAAAAATAATAACTAAATAAAGGTAAATTAAATAAATAAATATAAAAGTAATTTAGGTTTTTGAAACTATTGACAAAAATAGGTTAGGTCAAAGGAGGGGTCAAAACTCGCATACAATGGACGCTACTTCCGTGCGATGTGGATTGTCTATGTGGCGGGTGAGGTGTTATTGACGTGGAAGTCGCAGGCGATGCACGCGACTTCCATGAAAATCGCAGCCAACGCACGCGACTTCCACACATTTTTCTTTTCTTTTTCTTTTCCGCTGAAGTTCCAAACATTTTTCACCTTGTTTTAGCGAGTTTTCATATATATTTTTTATTATTACTTTTATTAATATTGCAAAATTAATTTTATTAATATTGAGTTTTCATATATTTTTTTATTGTTACTTTTATTAATATTGCAGAATCTATTTTATTAATATTGCGAAATTTTTAATTAAGATGCAATTAATTATTTTAATTTTTGTTATTATATTTTAAATTTTGATTAAAATGTGATTAAAGTTTAAAGTTCTAAAATTAAACTAAAAGCTACTTTTGGATAAAAGTTTTAAAAGCTACTTTTGGTAATTCAATGAATTGTGCCGCTAGCCAAGGAATACTCAACCTAGATCCCTTAAGTTGGGGAGGTCCTGTAATGGGTTCTCCATCAATAGGTAGTCCTAACTGCACAGCAACATCTTGTAGTGTAATAGTACACTCTCCACCAGACATGTGAAACAAGTGAGTTTCCTGCCTCCATCGCTCCACTAGTGCAGTAATAAGATGCCAATCTAACTGAGTAAAGCCTATCTGTGAAACCCCCAAAATCCAGACTGTTGTAGATATGACACTATACGATTATCTAGCCTAATGTTATGAGATACTACGGCCTCTCTTCTTCGACATTGCAAAACTATGGTAGATCCATCATCCCACACTAATTGTGAACGATGTGGTCGTTGTAAGTATAGCTGATGCGAATCCAAAGGTCCTGGATCCATAATTAATGCTTAAATATAATAAGACAAATAACACAATTATAATCAAAGTTCATTGCAAATAACATGACATAAAGTATAGTACATTACAATTCCAAATATCTAACTATTACAAAGCAAAAAATGATTCAATAAAGCATAGTGTATTACAAAGCACGAATCCGGGTAAGTGATAAAATATAAGGTATTACAAAGCAACAATCCCACACTAATTGAGAACGATATCACCGCATATGCTTCAACCTGTACATAGAAAATATAAAATTGATTTCAATATTAATAGATTTGTAACAGTATGTTAAAAAAATAATTAAAGAAATCCACCTTAATCACCCATTTGTCTCGAAGATGAAGCGCCAGAGTTGCGAGTTGGACATGTACGTTTGTTATGTCCTTCTTTTTTGCATATTCCACAATGAACTTTCGTACCCGTCTCCCGCCAATCCATCTCATTGTGAATGCGAGAAGTTTTTTGGGCGTCCATGTTCCCTCAACAAATTTGAGTTCGGATGAATAACATCAAACTTCACTTCCGGCCAATAGTCCCTATGTTGTATAGGGTAGAATCGAGATGCATAACAAAGTTGGTACCGTGACAATTCGTAATACTTCTCGACATAAGGCAAATATGGCAAGTGAACATGATTGCAGACTGCAATTACATGAGAACACGGTATCTTGAAAGATTGCCACTTGTTACAAGTACATGTATTGTCCTTCAAGCAAACTACTTGAGTATGTTGGCCTTTGTAAGGAGAGAACATATCTATTCCTGTCTCGATTTGAAAAGTTTGTGTCTCTCGATCAATAGAAGTCACTGAATGTGTTGTCGCTCTTTTCTCCCACCTCCTCAATTTATTTAAAGCATATTTTGTATACTTTTCACCCCGATCCACTGCTTCACTGATATCATCTCTACGTTTCTGGAAATAAGTAATAGTCTTAAAAAATGTAAACTTCACCAATGCAGTAATTGGCAACATTCTAGCTTCTTTGAAAACACCATTAATACACTCTGCTAGATTTGTTATCATCCATCCATATCGAAACCCTTGATCATGTGCTTGTGTCCATTTTTTAATGTTTATATGAGTGAAAAAATCAATACAATCTGGATTCAATTGTTGTAACTCCCTCATATATCTTTCAAATTTACGCTTTTGGTGTTGACACCCAGCACGATACACCAACTCTTTTAAGGGCTTCAAATTATATTTTTTGTTGAAATTGCTAGCCACATGACGGAGACAAAATCGATGATGTGCTCTTGGTTCACCCAGCCATTTTCCTTATTTTTCACAGCCGCCAAAATACCTCCATGACGATCAGAAATTAGACAAATTCCATCTCGATCGGTAACCAAATTTCGCAAGGCACACAAAAACCACGACCAACTAGAAGTATTTTCCTCTTCCACAATAGCAAAAGCAATAGGGAATATATGTCCATTTGCATCAATTGTGGTGGCAATAAGTAATTTTCCCTTATACTTGCCATACAGATGTGTACCATCAATCTGGATTAATGGTCTACAATGTTTAAATCCTTCAATTGCAGGACCAAATGACCAAAACACTCGCCCAACAATAAGATGTCCAGGATTATTCGAAGGTATCAAGTCCCAGAGTACTCGAGTGTCGACATTGTAATGCACTAAAGCATTCAAACAGTATGAGAGCTCTTCATATGATTTTTCCCAATCTCCAAAAACTTTAATTAGTGCTTTTCGTTTAGCTTGCCACATACGTCTGTAGTTCACACAATATCCAAAATCTTTTTTTATGACTTCTTGTAATGAAGCTACAGACGTACTAGGATCACGTCGTACAATATTCTGAATTTCATTGCACATAAAATTTGAGTCCAATTGTGAATGATCCTGTGTAAGCTCGACATATAAACATGAATGAACCTCCTCAAGTACACTGATTTCAAACATCCCATGAGATTTACGTCGACGAGCACGAAGTCTCCACTTGCAACCATCATTCCACTGTTTGGATTTTACATACCACATATCTTGATTCGATTCAATTACAACAAATTGATAATGTTGTGCAATACAATATTTCTTGACAGCAAGTTGTAATTCTTCT